GGCTAGGCAGAATCAGAGAGGACTCAAGGAATCTCCTTGAAAAATTCCTTGTCTAATAAATATTTGTAATATAAATATTAGTTTGTTTGTATGGAAGTGTTATGAACACTGAGACGTAGTGTTGTTCTCCAGTGCTGCATAGTGTTTTGTAAGAATGCAATGAGTGATGGATGTATTTTGTACTGTACATGTGTAGAATATGTAGTAGCCAATTGTGTGGAATGCTGTTGTTCACTTCTGATTGTGATTAATCAATAAAAATCTCTAGTGGAATGATACTGACAAACTGTTGGTTTATAGCAGGTTCCAAGTATAGACAATGGATGTAATGATTTGATTCCACTGAATATGACACCACCAAAGTGCAAATTCTGAACTGATTGGTTGAAACAAAAGGACAAGGCAGATTGTACAGTAGGATTATGGGCAACTGTATGTTTAGACACTGATGTATTTTGAAAAGTATGTAATTGCATAATACAAGTGAAAAAAGGTTTCCAGGCACTTTTTGATTATGGAGGTACTGCCAAGCACAAATAAAAATTTACCTGTGCTTATGGTCCAAGATAGTTACGCCTGACATTGGTTGGACCAGGTGATAGTTTCCCAGGCCCATCAAAAATTGATGAAATTCCAAGTAACTGGAGAAGGATCAGCAACTGTCAGTTTATATAATCCAAAAGATGTTGCATACCATACAGAACTTGTATGGGCCATGAAAACAATATGTAGTAATTTCTCATTTGCTGCTTCTAATAATATGATTCTAACACTACAGGCAATGCTTCCTAAAACTAAACTTCCTGAAGGAATATCAATGAGTGAGAAGAAATTGCAATATTTAATAACTGAAGCATTGGCTCCCTGTTTTCAAAAAAAATGCTAGAAGCAGCCCACTTTTCATTCTTTACAATTAGTTATGATGAAACCATCAATGTGGAAAGTAAGAAAGAGTTATGGATAATGATTAGGTTTTGGTCTGAGAAAAAAGAACAAGTTGTCTGCAGATACCTAAATATGTATTTCTTGGGTGTGCAGATGCAGAAACATTGCATATACACATTATCAAGGCTATTGATGATGCCAACCTGTCACTGCACAAACTTTTGATGATAGGATCAGATGGTCCTAATGTTAACCAAAAACCATTACGACTTTTTAAGGAAGATTTACTGGGAATTTCCAAGAAAAGCCTTGCTGACATTGAAACATGTAAGATTCATATTATTCATAACACATATCTGAAAGCATTAAGTGAACTGGGTGAAGATGCATTTGAACTTATTGTGGCAGTTTACAGATTTTTTGATGGATGGCTTGCTCGGTGGGAAAGTTATGAATCTGTGCAAGAAAAGCTCAAATTGCCCAAGCATAGATTTATAAAACATCATCACATTTACTGACATTCCATGATGCAACATCAAGGTTAATTGAGCAGTGGGAGGGCATAACTTAAAGTATATTCCTTCAAGTAAACAAAGCATAATGTCAAGTGCTTTGTACAGAAGTATATGCTGTTTGTTGAAGATTCCTTCCATGAAAGCAGAAGTACATCAAGGCATTTCAAGTGCATAAATTTTCACAAAATATACATCATTTTTTCAAAGAGAAGAACCTCTAATACATCTCCTGTACAACAAACTATGGGACTTGCTTCTAAAGCTAGTTACTAGAATTTTAAAAGTAGATATTTTGAAGCTTGTAGGATTCGGACCAAACATGGGTTGTGCAGGGACAGTCTTTTTAGGTGGGGAAAAGTTGCATCCCCACAGTGTGACTGTGGTGCTGAAAGACAGACTATACATCATATCTTGGAAGGTTGTCCAGTAAGATCTTTTCCGGGACAACTGAGTGACTTCCTGATTATGACTGAAAGTGCTTTAAACTATATTTCTAACTTAGATTTACATTTATGATTTGTGTTCTTACTTTTTCTGCTTTCTGTTCTTGTTAACAATTAGATGTGTAGCCATACGCTAAATAAATAAATAAATTTGAAGCTTGTTTTTCAGTCTAAGTCTGTTATGCCTGGTAGTAATGTATTAAATCCAAGGAAATTATTTGACAAGACAAATATTTTGCCAATAGAGGAAATTATTTGCAATGCTAGGTGAGGTTGCCAATGAGTTGAGTAAATTATCTCAAAAAGATCAATTGCATTTTTGCAGTTGCTTACAAAAACACTGTTGTGGCTTCCACATATATGATAGAAAAAGCTCCAATTCAATGCAAACTGTTGAATCATTGACATGTCTTCAGCCAAGTAGTATTAATGAAAAAAGCACTTATAAGGACATTGTAAGCATTGCAAGAGCTCTTCCATGTGACATTGCTAAGGATACTCTGTAGGGCGAGTGGCAGCTACTTCAATTTGAGTGTGATTTGACACAACAGATGAGAGAATTGATTATTATTTGAGTCAGTATTTTAAATTGAGGGATTACAAGATATCCCAGTGTAGCCAAAATGGTGAACTCAGTATTGACCCTCTCTCATGGCAATGCTGATGTGGAACGGAGATTTTCAATTTCACACTGGGTGCTTTCTGATAGAGCATCAATATCAGAAAGAATGAGTAATTCACTTTTGATTGTTAAGGGAGGGACTAAACATGTATGATCAAAGCCCACACTTTGTACCTATTTTGAAATATCTACTGAAATTAGCTGCTTCAGCACACAGAAATTATCAAGAACAATTGGAAAATGAAAAGAAGTTAAAAGAAGAAGAAAAACAGAAAAAAAAGAGCAGAAGAGGAAGAGGAAGCACAGAAACATTTTGAAGAACATCAAAAGAAAGCTGTTCATGACAAGGAAAAGATTATGGCACTGCAGCAGAGTTTAAAGCAGAAAAAAAAAGTAGAAGAAAGTGAAATACACAAGACAGGCCAAGTTTTGTTAGAAGCAGCAAACAAAAAACTGGAGAAGAACATGAATGAAACATGGGCAGCACATGTCATACTTGTTAGTGTTAAAAGCGTTCAAAAGGAAGAGAAAGCAAAAAAAAAAAAAAAAAAAAGGAAGCTGAAAGCATCCAGAAAAATCTTAATAAAAGAACATCATCTTTCAAGACTGATTATTTACAGAAGAAGCCGAAGACTTATTAAGTATTCATGTTTACTGGAAATATTACAGTATATACAGAAAGTTTTAAAATGTATTTAACCATAACAGTAAAAAAAAAACAACTTTTACTGCTATTTTGTTTAGTTTTCCTTCCATGTTTTCATTTTGTTTTGTTACTATTACACTTACTCATTTTTTCTGTATTTCAACTCAGTTTTTCAGAGGGAAAATGGTACTCTGAGGCCTGCTCATACAAAAATTTCATAATTTAAATTCTAATTGTCTTTGTTCTTCAAATATTTCCAAAACAGTTCTGTATAACTATAATGTATTCTGAAGCTTGCTTAGCCATGCTTTGGTACAAAGTTGCTCTTTAACTGGTGGTGATGGCGTTCCAAGATCATTATGATAATCTGGTTATCCACATATATTAATCTCATATAAAACTTAATAATATGCTTCAAAAGAAAAGGAAATAAAATAAATCTATTATGTTCACTATGCAAAGCATACCCATATATTGTTTTCTCTAAATAAAACAAATTTTGATTAATAATGTCTTGCATCATTTCCATAGAATATATATAATCCCGTATCCGGGTTGAAAAAGCTTAATTAAAACTGCCAATAAAAGCAGGCTATTAAACAGTTTAAATTAAATTCTAACATCAGAAACTTTCATCTTTTTATTTTCATTTTAGCTTTAATTATCATTTGCTTGTAGCGAGGTGTAAATTTATTATTTCATCTGAAAGTAATTTTCAGATATTTTTATTTTATTATGACTGAGTTATGTAGGAATGAAGTAAATTTCAGCTACAAGAAATAACATAAGCTAATTTCCATTAATCAAGATCAAGATTTGCTTATAAATCATTATTGTACTTTGATATTAACTTAATTGTATAAAAGCAAATTTAAGAAACTTTTACATCTGATCATCTCTCTATTAATATACATTAAAGAATTGTCTGAAAATTAAAAATATAAATAATGAAATTCATACTGAATTATTTATTTACTTAGACCTAAACCAGGAGATTTAAGAAGAATTGAAATAGATAAGTGTTCAGAACCTCTTGGAATTCAAATAATTTGTGGATTGGGCGGAAACAGCGTTTTTGTTTCATCAGTTCACGACAAAAGTTTAGCGGCTCAAGCAGGTTTGCAAGTTGGCGATCAATTATTAGAAGTAAGTTTTTACATTATTTTTAGTCTACATTTTTCATTTGTTAAACGTATTTACCATTTTTACAATAATTATCATTTAACAATAAAAATATTTAAATTTTTTACAGGTATGTGGTATCAACATGCGCAATGCAAATTATTGTTTAGCAGCAAATGTTCTTCGTCAATGTGGAGATACTGTATCTATACTTGTACAGTATAACCCTGACAGTAAGTTCTTGCATTAATTTTGTAACTAATAAAGTGATTTAAATTTCAAATTCATACATTTTAAAGTTGGAAAAATTTGAAGATTTTTATTATATTAAATTGCAATTAGATAAACTTAGATAATTAACTTATTTATAATTGTATTAATATTNACATTAGTTTTTTTATATTAATTTTACATTAATTTCTTGTTGTTTTTTAGTATTAAACACAATATTTATTCTCTATAAAATGTGTTTTTATATATATATTTATTTTAGATTGTCTAGAATGAATGAATTAATTGGATTTACATTGAATCACTGTATTCAAGAATTAGTTAGTAGTGATGTCTTCAAAATTAATATGTTTGCTGGTATGATTACGATTGTATGTTGTATAATTGTGGCTGTATGCTTTTTTTCTTTTGTGTGTAATTTTAATTTTATATTCTATATCTTTTAATCCTATTTCCCTGTCCAATTTCCTTTGTTCTATTGTTTCCAAACTTCTAAGGAATCCTGACTCAATTCTTTCCCACCAGGGTGTGGGACATGAACAATAGGATACAGCAAAGCTGGAAGGCAAAAACCCCACTTCAGGAGAACATTCTTTGACCAGACATGGAGAGAGAAAGACATATACCATCAAGGTTTAGGAGTTTTGAGATTGACAAGCGCTGGTGAATGAGGCCTTAGAGTGGGAGATCTATGAGAAAATTAAACAACCAGAACTGGAGGTAAATCCTTTGGAGAGTTATTATTCTGGAGAGAAAAAGGAGAAAAGAACACATGAGTAGCTTGGAAGTTGGAATGAGAATTCAAACCGAGATGTTCGTCAAGAAATTGGGTGGCCTCTGTCTTATCAATCCCACACTTCCTCTTCTATCTATCTATCTACTAATTAGTTTTTAAGTTAGGTTAAGAATTTGTTTGTGATCATAGGATAAGTTGTATAGTATATAATTAGCATTGGGTTGGAATTTGTGATGGAATTAATTACGTGAATTGTTGTTGTATTGTTAACACAGAAGGACCTGGAAAGTCCACAAGGAGTGAGAACCTATAAATAATCTGTTTTATCACAAAATTAAAGTTGTTTTGTTGGCTATCATGCTTCAGTATAATTCCTTTTGCATTGAACCTCTCGCATAGTAATCATTATTTTTTGAATGTGGATAACATGATTACAAAATTTGTAAAGTTATCACGATTGTTTAAAATTTTATTGTGCAGTTTTATTTTTAATTATATTATCATTATTTTTTTAATTTAGTATAATTTTTGCATAAAAAATTGAAAATCTAATAGAGAAAATTATCTTTTTTTAAGCTTAATTATACAGTCCTTTTACATATTTCTGTAGTATTTAAGAAAATCTTAGTCATTAAATTTTGATTTTATGTCATGAATTAAACTCTTTGAAATGATTTTATTATATTAAGAATTATTTATTTTCAGTTAGAAAAAGAAATCCATTCTGCTTTGAAAGAAAATAAGCTACAAGATGAACCAAGTACAGTAAAAAATGTATTACAATTACATCAAAATATGGATATATATCAAAATATTATTCTTTGTGGAAGTAGTGGATCTGGAAAAAGTGTAATTTGGAAGACATTAAGATTAGCTTTAAATCAATTAGCTGTTTTAAACATTAGTGGTTTTTATTTTATTAAGGTAAGATTTAAAAGTTAATACAGTAAATAAAATATATAAAAATATTATTATTAATCTAAGATTATGCATTCCTTTTAAATTTTCATGCAAATAAACTATATTAAGACTACCTTAATTTCTCTTATTTGTTATTAAACAATATAAACTAAATTAATATGTACTGTATATAAGGCTGTGGAATTAAAATTTATTAATGGCTGAAAAATTCTTATTTGTATCTTTGTTAAAAATACAAACTTAAGTATTGTATATTCTGGTCAAAGATTTTCAGGGTTTTAATGTTGTTTATGATATAAACAATAAATCTTACATGAAATGAAAGATTAACGCAACACATTTTTATCTCAGACATCATAAGTGCTCAATGTGGACACCCTTTGCAACATAACACATATCTAGCCTTTAGTTACAGTTCTGTCACACTCTGGTCACTAGAGAATTGTTTATTGGCTGCACTCTTTGGTATAGCTTAAGAAACATGAAAAGGAAAGAAGAATAAAAGTTTTAGGAAAGGTTCAGGTTGAAGGTGAAATAAAGCGAGATAGGACAGAATGAAAGTTAAGATATTCGATGCAACCTCATGGTCACCGCAACGCTTATTTACAACCAATGAAAGAAAATAATTACAAAGAAAACATATGTACAAAATTTGAATACAGTATTTACACTGAAGAGTTACATGCCGAGTGTTGAGCTTTCAATTATTGTAGCAATACACTGTATGAATAATGCAATAAATTTAGCAGATACAAAGAAGCTATATTCTAAATTAAAAACTACGGTTACAAATTTAAACTCGTACAAGTATAGATTTTACAAAAATGTAGTTTTACACTTTTGGAGTGTATACATCAATTTACCTTGATCACACTCTGGTCAGCATGTCTGGTATGATAGATTCAACAGCTATGACAATTCTACATCTTACCTAGGTGGGATGGTTGTGGTAAAAGATCACATGTATATGCCATTTCTCCAAGGAGACATTAGTCTTATTTGTCATTTTTCATTGTGCAGACTTTGTTGATTATTTTTTCTTTTCCTTCCTTTTTTTCTTTAACAAATGAAACTACTTGTATATAGTAATAGAATAATGCTTTATTTGTTACTGAACAAAGTGAAAATAGACTAAATCAAAGTTTAATAATATAAAATTAAATAGAAGTGAACTAAAATATAACCAAAATGTTTTACTGTTATTGAAATAAAGCAAAATATAAAAAAAGATGTATTCAGTTTCATTATATTTTGTTTATTGTCTTTCCTAGTAAGTTTCACCCATCTTATAGTTTAATATAATTTATTTCACTGTACTTCATATGTGAGAACTGTAAGACAATTTTTAGGCACACAGATTTTAATTTTATAGATCAGTAAATGTATAAGATGCCAATGTAAATCATGATATTATGTTACATAAACATGTTAAACTTTATTTTAAGCAGGAATGGAATTTATGTTGTTATAGTATTGAAATAAAATGAAATAAAAAGAATTCACTAAACAAGAGAATCTCACTGTTACTCACTTTCCCATATATCAGGGATAGCAAATCTTTTTGAGTCTATATGCCATATAGTAAGCATACATATCTTTAAAATGTATGCCAAAGTTTTTAGACTTCATATACTGATATTTAAAGAAATGAAAAATTAATTAGAAAAATGTAAAGAAGTTGATTGAAAAACAGATTATAAACCAAAATTGTATGATACGTTGTGTGCCAGATGATTTCTCCCGATGTGCCACTAGTTTGCAACTCCTCTCTTACATGAATGGAAAAATTACACAAATAAAAGAAATTTAAAGAAAAACTAGGTGATTTTTTGACAAATTAAAAACAACTTAAAAAGATATACAAAGTGCATTCAAGTTCTAAGGTCTCTTATTTTATTTCTAAAAAATGAAAAATTTACAGTCATGAAACATTTATCATTTTTCAACCTGAAACATTGTACATTTTCTTGACAAACACCTATTATTTGCTCAATAAACACCTATATGATTATCTCTGAGCTTTAGAGTCAACTGTCAGGTCATCCTTTAGGATGATATTTTTGTCATTTTCAAGTTATCATGGACAATATTGTGAACAGAACCCATTCAAATTTCAGTTTTACTTGTAATTTCTTCAATGGTTATATGCTGTTCGTTCACAACTACTGCTTTTCCTTAAACTGGCTGGTTTAAGGCCTTGGCTGTTTCAGAATGTTTTCACATTCAGATTGCTTTTTTTCTGAAACTTTCTTATCCAAAAGTGTATTTTTCACATCCATAGCCCTATCTCTATATGTCTGTCTCTGTCATCTGTTCAGGATTTGAATACTTTTTTGGCCATGTGATGTTTGGTATTTAATAGACCTTCATTACTGCAATAGTTTTTTTTTTTTTTGTTGTTGTTGTTAATTGTCCTTGAGAAATAAAATAGGAGACCTTAGAATTTGAGTGCATTTCATATAAATTATCATAGATGATGATGAATTAAACACATATCTGAAGTATATGTAGTATATAATATATCTGAAAGAAGTTAATAAAAGTAAAAAAAAAGTATAATATTTACTAATGAAACAGAGTGGACAATTTAGATGTTAAGAAATACACATTCACTAATTTTTGATATTTATAAATGAATTATAAAGAAGTAAAATTTTTATTTCAGGAATATATTTTAAACCCTAAAATATTAACTGTAAAGAAATTATTTGGTGAACTCGATTTTGTAACAGGAATATGGAAGGATGGATTAATATCTTCATTGCTACGATCATGCTTAGATACAAAAGCTGAAGAAAAATGGATAATTTTTGATGCTCCTATAGATTCATCATGGATTGAATGTATGAATTCAGTAGTGGATAAGAACAAAGTTCTGACATTAATTAATGGTGAACATATTCCTTTGTCTCCACAGGTATTTAATGAAAATTTTATGAAGTGTTCTTTTTTTTATTTATTATGAAATATATATTGTATATATATTAATCTTAAAAAGTTCAAAAACTATTAATACAAATTATGAAATTGTGACCGGTGGGTCAACACCTCTTGATCTCTGTCAGGACTGACACCAGTGTAACCTTTGTCAGATTGAGAGGGTTATGTAGATTATGCGAGCAGTCACATGTGCAGTTGATTGGGCGGATGGAGTGAGAGACAGCGACCTGGAAGTGACTTACGCAGAGACTAGATTAACGTAACAACCATTTAATTGGTAACGATAGGCAATACATGTCTTACAATATGTCGATAGTTTTGATAGTAGGGTTTAAATGAATGAGAGAGAGAATTTACAATTGTTTGTGTGGTGATAAATACCTGGAGTAGAGGATGTCCTTGGCGTTAATTAGATGTTGAAAAAAACTGGTGGTGATTATCTCTTCTTTGTTGTTGCTCGTCAAGAAAAGTTATCCACGTCTTGATGATGCAATGTTCTGCAATATCCTTGGGCACTGATATCCTGATGGGTAGTCATAGTCACTTTTAGAAGGAATGTCGGAATGATCGTACTACTCGAGGAATGAGCGACGACTTGATCAATTTTTCAGTTTCTTGTTATCTTAAACTGATGAACTTAAGACAATAGGTCAGAAGGTTATGGGAAAGCGTCACTTTCGCTGCTGAGAACTCACTGAACAATTAGCTCCCAGGTGTGAAAGTTGACAGTTATCCGACAAAATGGTATTATTAGGAAGTTATATTATGAGTTAAGCACGTAAACAGATTACGTAGTGCTGAGTCTCACAAAATCAACAAAATATTTTTTGATAAATTATTTTTAATAAGTTTTAGTATTAGAATGTATCAATCAGAATCAATTGAAATAATTTAGGATCAATTAAATTCATTTAACATCATGTTATTATGTATGATATTAAATGATTTTAATTGTTTTTCAGTAATTTTTTATTTTTGGAATATTTTCATGATAAGAGGGTCGACACCTCTTTGATGCCTCATCAGGACTAATACTTCTGTGTCTCATTTGACACAGAAGTCAAAACAGCATGTTGGTTCATTTTTTTAAAGTAGGTCATGTGAGCGGTTGCGTACACAAACAATCAGGTCCAGATGGAGACAGAGACAGTGAGTTGTAAGAGACTGACTCGCACACTAAGTTAACAACTGAATAACTGTTTATTTGTAAAAAGAGAATACATAGTATACATTTCCATTAACGGGTTATAATATAATGAAATAAACTAGGTATAGATGCTGTCACTTTTCGTGAGAGAGAGAGAGAGTTCAAATTCAAGCGGGGATAAATACCTTGTAGAGGATGGAGATCTGATGCTTGCTGGTTGGGTTGAAAGGAAGAAAGTTCTAGATGATAGTTCTTAGTTCAGAGGTCAACAGTTGATAGTATGGCTGCAGGCAAGAAGAATGATGTACCCATAGAGATACTTAAAACGATGTATCTGATGATATAATAGAATGAGGTATCCACTGAGATAACAGAATGATATATCCAAACATATAATAAACAATGTATCCAAATGTATCCAAAATTTGAAGCACAGGGAAAACAAGTGGTCCAGTTGAGGGACTGGTAACAACTGCTAATACTTGGTTGGATAGCTAGTTGTTATATGGAAATGACGAAATCGGGACAGCATGTCAAAAGGTTGCTTGAAAGCATCTTTATTGATGCTGAGAACTTAACAGAAGATATATTCCCAGATGTGAAAGTTGACAAAGTTGATGTTACAACATTAAATTGTTTATGTTGAAGTCCAGATTCTCACATTTTTATTTCAAAGATAAAAGCTTTGAAACATAGTATTACACTACATATGAGAAGCACTACAGAGGATCAATTGCTATCATCTATTGAACACATTGTTCATTGTCTTCAGGCTTTACACCTTCAGAATGGGGACCATATCAAACAGTATTCTTTGCATCATTAAAACATCTGTATAGCATGTGTACAAATAAAATGTTTGTTGTTTACAGTGTTAAATATGCCACTTAAAGATTCATTGGTTGTGAGTTTTGATATTTTTTTTGTATAGAAATGTCTTTTGTATGTCCTGAAATATTACCATATCAAATTTGGTTGCATTTGGCCTGATAAATATCTCTCTAGACAATGTACCTTAATTATAATTGCCCATATTTCTTTATGTTCTAATAAATCATTGTGTTCTAGATCAAATCTAGTTTGTTAAGAATATTTGTATAATAAAATTAACAAAGATTAATTTTATGTTTTTATATTTTTATATCCAGTCAAATAATTGACTATATTATCTCTAATATTTTTGTAACATTATTGTAGTAAATATGAATACATCTGTATGATATTATTTAAGATATATCTCGTTTTGCAAGATTAAACCATTTTTGTAAATAATTATTAACAATAATTCTGAGAAATTTTTTATTTATTCTTAGTTCTTTTAATTGAAATTTGATTTATTACCATTGGGATAGAATCCTATTTTCATATGATATAAGTAGTAAGAATGAGAAATTATGTTTATAATTATGTTTTTATTTAGCATAGAATATGACAGCCATGATAATATATAGGTGCCCTATTTGAAATTATAGATTACAGCCACTCCTCACTGAACAACTGTGTGTTCCCATGACTAGGTTGTTAACTGAATTGGTTGATAAATGAGAGCTTAATTGTTTTTTTTATTCTGGATGGAGAAAAAATTTAAAAGAAACTCAACTTGATAACTTTATTTTAATTTGCATCTCTTACATATTACAAAACAAAAATATAATCAGCAAAAATTTTAAAAATGATGTACCAAAAAAATTAAAATTTATTCAAAAAAATAAGACATTCAAATTAATATTTTAGTCATTGAATACTGCATATTGGATACACAATAAAGTACAAATTTATAAATAAATGTAATTTTGGAGATTGTGAAAGTTTCATATAGCTAATGCTGATGAACTGCAGGAATGAGACTGACTAAGTAAGGGGATTTGTTGTGATGGAGAACTGTTCATAAGTCTGAGTGGTTGTTAAACATGTAGGTTTTCAAGTGAAGAGTGGCTGTATGTAGTCTATTCCACAAGGTCTTACACCTTGTTCACTTACACTTTATAATGCATTTTTTAAGTTTTGATTTAAATGTTTTTCTTTTAACCACTTCTCAGTCTTTGTTACATTCCAAACATCCATATGCAGTGATTGCTTTTTTTTTGCTTTGATGTGTCATACATTTGGTATGAAAAATGGTGTAGAAATTTTTATTTTAACATCTTTGATGCATTCACTGTTGTTTGTTTATTTTACTATTTCTGTGATAGATAGCATTATGTTACAGAAATTATTTAATCATTTTTAGCAGAATAATTTAATTTTGTTTAGAATCTGAAAGCATTTATGTAACTTGTTTCTGATAGTTTTTTTTTTAAACTAATTAGTTTGTGAGAAGTTATAATTTTATAAATTGTTGATGGATATCAATGATATTGACTATTTTAGACAAATAAGAAGGTTACTGTTTAGATAAACTAAGAGTTATTGTTTAGATAACTTATTATAAAAAGTTATTTTAGACAAATTAGACTTACTAACATTATTATAAATTATTTTCTAAGCATACTAAAAAAAGAAAATTATTTATTTATTACATTGATGTTTGGAAATGTTATTAGGCAGTGGATTTCCATTCCTCATTACACAACAAGCCCAAATAAATGAATAAAATTACAATGAAGCAAAGAAAAAAAAACGGATAAAAGCTATAATATAATACATAAAATACATGTATGGCAGAATGATATATAAAAAGAGTAACTGTAGAAAGTAAAAAAGTGAATAATAATTTAGAAGAAAATAATAAATAAATAAAAACAAATATGTATTTAAAACTTATGTAAAAATGTTGATACATTCACTTATAATAAGATAATTTTATTATTTATTAGATGTATTATTAAAATGATTTTATTCTTAGAAAAAATATNTTTAAAACTTATGTAAAAATGTTGATACATTCACTTATAATAAGATAATTTTATTATTTATTAGATGTATTATTAAAATGATTTTATTCTTAGAAAAAATATGTATAGGAGATAACTTTTTTGCATATTTTTTATAAAAATTAATTGTGAGGACCCAAACGGGGTCTGAAAGGAGGCAATTAACGACTTTTTGAATGACTCAAGTTTCGTAGCGCGAAAGAGCGAACTTAAATATCAGATTTAAACAATGAACCTTTTGTCTTGTTAAAAGATTTTAAACAATAGATAGAGTAAAGTCGAGGAAAACGAATTGGAGAGGAGTCGTGTTCTGACACGATGTTGGCCTCTCCCGCTCAGGGCCGGATTAACCCACTTTGGGGCCCTAGACATTTTTTCTTCCGGGTCCCCTCTCGGCTCTTTCAATTAATAAAATCTTGTTACTATTATTTCTATTAAATTGCATATGGACAGCTGCTTTATAAAAAATAAAAGCAAAATTATTTAACAATATTTCACAGGATTTAAGAACACATATAGTTAATATTATTCTTATCACTATAAAGAATATTCTAAATTATTGGGAGTTTTACTTTCAATAAGAAGAAACATAAGAATACGAGGGTTGTTCAAAAAGTTCCCGAACTTTATTTATTAAAAAAAAAAATACTTCACATACAATTTATTTGTTGGGTCCCTTTCAAAGTAGTCTCCTCCGCAGCATATACACTTCCACTTTTTGAAACAGTCCTGGAACGCTTTTTCCGTAATACTCATAAGCTCCTCCGTCGTTTTTTTCTATCTCTGGAATGGTGGCAAATGTTTTTCCTTTGAGCGCGTTTTTAGTTTGTTGGAGAACAGGGAAAAGTCGCATGAGACCAGGTCGGGTGGGGAAGCACACAGCGGTCTTGTTTTTGGCCAAAAGCTCATGTGTTCTGAGGGACAAATGAGCCGGCGCGTTGTCGTGGTGAAAGAACCACTCGCCGCTCCTCCAAAGTTCGGGCTGTTTTCTCCTGATTTTGTCTCTTAGGCGATTCATAACACCAGGTAGTACTCCGTGTTGACTGTCTGGCCTGTAGGTAGGTATTCGTGATGCACAACCCCCTTTGCATCGAAAAAAAACAGTCAACATCACCTTAACATTTGAGCGAACTTGTCGAGCTTTTTGGGGCGGGAGGCTGTTTCACCCACCCGTGAAGGATTTTCCGAGTTTCACAAAGAATTTCACAGAACAACGCTGTTCTTTCAAAGAGCTGATTTCTGCGGATTCGATTTTTCGCCGAACCCCACAAACACCACTTCACATAAACGGCCGTAACTAATCACCAAAACAAGATATCAACAAACGGGTTGATGGAGGTTACTTGGGAGGTTTCCGTGGACACAACGCCTCCAAGCGAATTAAAAAATAACCAACTGGAGGCGTTCAAAAAGTTCCCGAACTTTTTGAACAACCCACGTACATTTTCTTTTGATTTTAGAATTCACAATAACCATATAAAAAGCAATATATTTTTGTTTGTTTATTATATACTGTTGTCCAACAGAAAAGTAAACTATCTTATTTACAAATCTTTTCAAAGTAGACAGTTTGACCGGGCCCTTCTAAAAACCGGGCCCTAGACATTTGTCTCATTTGTCTATGCGATGATCTGGCCCTGCTCCTGCTCCCTCTGTTGGGTTTTGAGTTGTCACTACGTGACGAGGAGAGACCAATGGAGTGGTGACGGCAGTGGAAAAATCGATAAAACTGCATTTTCGGGAACTTTACAAGGTCTTGGGTTTTGGTGCTTAGTGCTCCCTTGCTGGGATTTAGTGCTCGTGCCAGAGATACAACGTAGGATGCTCAAGGAGCTGGTTTCGCCAACCCGTCACGTCCAGAATCATCGAGGTTCGATTTGTCCATCGAGGACATCTCTACACGTGCTGTGCATGCCCTGGTACCGACGTTCTCTGTGTCCAGCGTGCTGAAAATATCCAAGGACCGATCGAACAGTCGAACTTTTCCATTTTTACTGGAGCTGTTATAGTAACCCATCGTTGGATAGGCTTCTGCCTGACATATTGAATTATTGTAAGAACAATTTACGTATTTTATTAAACAGTTTTATATGTTAAACCTGTCTCGGTGAGTCATTCTGCGCCCACAAGACAGTAATGACTGCTCGGCTGTCGAAAACACCCCCCCAATAGGCTGACCTCACATAATTATATATCAAATATCAATGATAAAAAATTGACACTTTTGGATAGTCATCCTGAAAACAAAATGAAATTTAAAATGATTTAATTTTCTTAAAAATTATTTGAATATCAATGTATTTTAGTATTTCTAGTTTTTGACTTTATTATTTGTATAAGTAAAATAGATTTTGATTCTGTTACTTGGCTTGTTTTATTATTCTCGTACAGTGGTGCTTATACTTAAAATTTAATTTATTCCAGGAGGCTGTTTAAAGTCTGAATCAATTTTCTTCATAAGAAATAATGGAAAGTGAATTAATCTATTTCTAGACCCAGAACAATACTTATTTTGATGTATTTAAAACAGTAAATACACATAATTAAAGGTACAAGTAACAACTAAATGCCCTAAATAATCAACTAAAAAATGAAAACAATAAATAAAATACATAAATACTGTATAATAAAATGAAAATTGCATTTACCATTGACTTCAGCATCTTAAACATTGCTGTTAGATTTTCCACACATACTGCTTTCATGCTTTGCAATAAGTTTTTCTTTTATGTTAATCATTGATATTACAATTTCACTCTTAGACTTTGTTCCCTCCACACATTTCTTGGATGCCATGGTGAAAAAGTAAAAGTTATATTGAGTTGAACAGAAAGTTTTTCAAATTTTTAACAGCTGTTGTTACTTAATATAGATGTATGATTTAATTATAACAGTTGTGAAATTTAACATATTATTGCTAATGTGAGATGGTATTAGTAGCATAGCGTAGTGGGGGCGGCAGGGGTGGCCCGCCTCGGGCGTCACTTTTTAAGGGGTGGCAAAATTACGTTTTAGGGGGCAGAAAAATTTCACAATAAATAATAATAATATCTTGTAAGAATTTGAACCATTTTATTTCATATTTTTGTGCACCTACGATTCGGATCGATTGAAATGAGCACGGAATAGTGTTACCATCCGGACACTCTAGGAATCGATTCATAGTCCATGCGCTACCTGTTGATTTTTTTTTTTTTTTGCTTATATGATTTATTTGTAAATATATATACCTCCAATATCCAATAGATCTAGGTCACTTACGTTACTCCTACCCAAGTCTCCCTAGTCACTAACTGATTTAGAACCGGCATGCACTGCGCATTATTCTTCACATTGCAAAATGACATTATGCATGTGTTAGGAACTTCTGTTCGAACAAACCTGACTTGCCGTCAGTATTGGCGATTTTAAAAAGGTGGCAACACTAGTACAGAATTTTTCATTACTTATTCTGTAACGAAACTGAATTTTAGTCTTTTAAATTGAGATACCTAAATGAGGGGGGGGGCGAAATTTTCCTCTGCTTCGGGCGGCTGACACCCACGCTATGCCACTGGATGGTATTTTTTATTTAGAAGTTTATTTTAAACTTTTTACTTCACGTTTTGTTTGAATAAAATCAAGTTGAAATATCTTCAGATGAATTCTTTTTATCTGATTCAGGTATATTATGATTTATAAGTTTCAGAAATGATATAACACCATACAAACAGGAAAAAATTTTGTAATGTTTATGGGAAAAAATGCTTCTAAACTTCAAACATGCCAAATGTGATTTATTTGAAGCTTCCTGCCATTTAATTGTTATGTTTATTATATCATATTATTTGATAAAATAATGATATGAAAACAATTAAAAATCAGATTAAGAGAACATATTTGCGCTGTAAAATATAATTATTTTAATTCAGCTGTCACTGTCCATTGTATCAATACTAAACAGATTTTAATAATCTTACTAAACAGTGATCAAATTTTATTGGGCTGCAATTTGAAAGCATTGTAGATCTATAAATTCCCAATGTCATCCATCCATCTCTCTGTAGGTCCTTCCTTAATCTTGAAAATGGAGATAGATAGTTGAAAGTCAAGATGGATATAGAAAGCTTAGGGGCAGGAGGCCCCAATTAACTATATATGAACTTCTGGTTTGCACCAGAATTGATGTTATTTCAATTCAAAAATTTCCCCTAAAAGGAGTTAGATAGATGATCAACATGACTGTTTTGCTAGTAGGAAAAGTACAATGTACAGGGACAAGATATTACTAATTTGAGATGGAGAGCATATATTTTAAATTAAATAAATTAAAAATATGATTAAAAATTGCAGCCTTGCATTTTGATGATGTCATAATAAATAATTGCTTGTAATGAAAATAATTTAATTGTTGATTAATGAACAATAATTTAAATGTTTCTGATCAGTTGACTATTCAATAACATGTGGAACCTCAGCAGACTGACTGTGGATCTCTTCAACTTTTCAATTATTTTCAAAAGTGAAGTATTTTTAGGCTAATAGGATGATAAGATGGAATATTTGGTTCAGTATCAATTTTTGTCACTTTGCTTCTTTCACGCAACAACCAAGGATGTCTTCAGCTAATATCTGTTTTTAAATAAAAATTAACAAATTAATATTTTTTTTTTATAAATAACCTTGATTAAATAGGTTTTAAAAAAATTTTGTTTAATAAACTCAGTATAAAACAAGAACAATTTATCAGAAATTTTGTCTGGAACTCCACTTATGTGTATTCACTTTTTTATAATTTAATCTAGCTTAAATTTTATAAATAATAATTAGACTATATTTTATTACATGCTTTAAATTTTGATAATACCGGGAGTATAATTGTAAATTAGAAAGTGCCAGCATGCTAACTGGCACCCTGAGTTTTAGTCACCACTATCTGTGGAGTTTGTATGGGCAAAGTGAAGTTTTGTGGTGGAAAATCTGCAAAATGGCTTAAATATGCCAAGAATGACTTACATATTCATAATCAGCACGAAAAATTCTTCGAGAAATAATTTTCTCATGGTTTTGATGGGTACTGAACTGTACATGATCTAAAGGCCATCCTGGATGTTTACAAAATACAAGGACTTTGTCCTGCTTAAAAAATAACTACCAGGAAGCCACCTTAATACACCCTGGCATGACTACAGTGCTGGATAATACTACATATTTGTTGGATTTTCAAATAAAATATTAATTATAAGTATTATAAATTTTCAATAAAATTTTAATTTTAATTTAATTAAATATATACAGTACATTTTTAGTTTTGGATGATTTTGTTTAAAAATCAAGTTACACATTTAACTTTTAAATCTTAATAATTTAATAAACAATTAATATGCTTTATTAATTCTTAAAATTATTAAATAATATAAAATATTAAGTAGTATTATTAATTTTTCAGGTATATTTATTGTTTGAAGTTGATAATTTGGAATATGCAAGTCCTTCAATAGTTTCTCAATGTGGTATTGTTTATACTGAATGTAATAATGTCAGCTGGAGAACCTATGTAAATTCATGGCTTGAACAATATGAGAATAATGAAATAATTAATGAACTAAATCAAATGTTTGAAAGTTTTTTATTGACTATTTTAAATTTTAAAAAAGAACATTGCAAAGAATTAGTGCCAATTACTGAATTAAATGGAGTTATTTCACTGTGTAAATTACTTGATTGTTTAATTTCAAAATATATGGAGGTAGGTTATATTTTATCAATGTAGTTTATTTTAAGTAATTATTAAAACAATAAACCTTTATACAAGTATCCTTTTCCTAACATAGTTTTGCTTAATATGCAAAATTAATTGTGGCAATTCCTTTGTTTATATGGCAGAAGTTTTAATTTATGCAGCTTTATCAGCTGTCTTTACTTAACATAGATACCATATTTTGATTAACATGATTTTGATATGCATGATAGGAATGAGGGATTAATTAACCACATTAATCAAGGGAAACCTGTTTATTGTTCATATAAAAATTTTTCTGCTGAAATTTGCTCTTGGATATGACTGTGTTTTTACAAATATTGTTTAAAAAAATCACAGATAATTTTGGTGTCATTACATTATAACATTATTTTGTGTTCTTAAATTTGTCAAAGTTTTAATAGTTCTATTTTTAGATAGTACTCTTTTTATCAAACATTGATAGATTGATTCCAATATTTCTCCTTTCCATAATGAAAAAGAGGTTTTAAGAATCTCAAAGAATTTTGAAGAAGCAAAAAAAAAAAAATAATAATAATAATAATAATAACAGAGAAAATGAATCATGTTGGTAATATTGGTAATAATTTTGCTTGATAAGCTTGTATAGTTAATGAAAGATGTATGGTTATCATTCATCCTTTATTTAAGAGGACAGTTCTTTATTTTACTGCTTTCATCAATAGATTTTTTTTTTTTTCTAAAATAGCTATTTTATGCTTTATTTTGTAAATTGAAATTTGTGTATTAAAAGTTAAGTCACCAGTGAAAAGATCAAAGAATGGCTACATAATGATGAGTGTGTGCCTGTAGATGGGTTGAAATTTTAAAATATTTTACAGATAAACATGTATATTTTAAAAATTGATGAATTTTGCTTGTTTCCTTGGATCTAATTCCCTACCAAATAAGTATTTTCATTAGTAAACAATATATGGACTAATGGAATTAAAAATCAAAATATTGGAAGCATACATTTATACCAAATACAACTTTGACATTAATTGTATACAGTTTTATGAATTTTTAAAACACAAACCTGATTTATTCTTGTAAAAAGTATCAAAATTAAAATTTTTTAAACTAATAATATGATTTTTTATAATGCTATCTAAATGCTTATATTTTATAATAAATGTTACAAAGCTTTTTAGTTTTAGTGGAACAAATAAATACAACCTAGTTTTTTATGAAACAATTTTTGATTTGTCCTTTATTTTCTGAAAAAAAAATATGGTTACTGTACCATATAGCATAGCTGGTAATGTTGCCTGCCTAGCTTGCAATAGTTGTAGTTTTGAGTGCCATATCAAATTTTAATCTAAATTAATTAATTACTAACTACTAATTGTTAAATTTAGAGCAGAATGTCCGTTTTTTTTCAAAATTAAATTAAATTATCTATTTACTTTAATATCAACTGTTACGATTCTATAGATATTTATAAATTTATTTATATATTCAAAATATCTCTTTTGAAACAGATTAATTTTTTTAAAGTTGCATGTTTTTTAACTTAGTATTCTTCATATCATATACTTTTAATCAACAAATTTCACTTTCGAGTGGAATCAGGTGGATTTTAAAAACATTTGGGAAGTCACTTATTTACATGTTTACTGGAAACTGAAGAGGTTCAGTAGTCTACTTGTATAGTTTTAATTATATAAACTGCAATCTGCATTGAATTTGATCAATATGTGTAACAGATAAGAAACACCTGAAAATTTTAATTAAATAAATATGAGAAAATACATCAGATTTAAACTTGGATATATACACAAGAAATAAGAGAATCTTTTACTATGCAGCTATCAAACTGACTTTGTTATTATTGGAAATAAAAATACTTTTTCTATTAAAGTAATTGTTATATTATTAGATTATTTAATATTTCGTATTAACTTTATAATAATAATTTTCTAAATCATGTAAATATTATATTTTTACATATATTATTTTCCAGAGAAATATTTCAAATAATCCACCTGCTTTACTTTTAAAACTGTTGTTCTTTTTTTCTGTAACTTGGTCAATTTGTGCCTCTGTAGATGACTTTGGACGTAATAAAATAGATAATTTAATTAGACAACTTGAGAGTTCATATCCTACTGAAAATACAGTATATGATTATTATGTTGATACTCTTAACATTGTATGGATATCTTGGTCTGAAAAATTACAACAAAACTGGAAATATGATTCTAGGTATTTTTTAAATTTTTTTCA